TGCGGCTTAACGAATGCGTATGAAGACCATATAAATAATTCACATCACTCAAGAGGTGGCGAGCTGAACAAGTCCCTTCTGGTTACATTTATTTAAAGATAAGGTGAAACTAAGTGAGTGATGGCCCAGTTACAGAGGCCAGGGTCCAAAGGGGATTGGGACACTCTAAGTTACACCACCAGAGTGATTTGTGCAGAATTATGTCAACTTAGAGATCCTGGCACCTTGGGGGAAAGGGAAATGTCTTATCTCTAAGAAAAGTGATACACGATGAGTATTTTCCAAGTACAGCCTATGAGCTAATTCTACAGAATTCAATTCGGCCCTGGCAGAAACTGAATTTCTGTTTTAATCTAAAAGGAACTCAGAATTAGTAACCTTGCAAATGTTGTCTTCCTTTTGAAATGTCACTCACGGACTGTCTCGAGAAGCATGGGCTGACTTCCCATTGAGGGTCCTCTCCATGGGGTGGGGGGCTCTCTTCTTTTCAGAGGCAGGACTGGATGAGCTTCCAAACGGGATGCCAGAATCTTTGACTGTGAATCTGCGGATAAGAAAAAGATTGTTTTGAAGCTCAAGTGAGGGCAGTACTCGTGATCAAAAGAAGAACTTAGAAAAATTTGTGGTGTGGCTGACTGGTAAGGAGGAGATAAGAGATTTCTCCTCTCTTGATTTTTAACCACCCCTTCCTATACCCTAGCCACAAATTTTAATGCATCTCCTCTCTTTTCCCACACTACCCCTTAAATATTTCCAAGAAAGACTTCTAGAACTTTGTAATAAGGAAATTGTATCGCCAGCTGACAATAAAATTTACGAAGCAAGGAATGCCTCTGTTAATACTTTCCAACGTCTTTGTTTTTGAACGACCAAGATGCTGAGAATATTCCAATTCAGTAACCCTGCCTCCAACAGGCAGCGAAACAGTTAGCGAGGTTGACAGATAGATACAGCCGCGATGCAATAATCCTTGCTGCATTGAACTTTGTATTTAAACACTTATTTTATGTTTAATTAATTTCTCCAAAGTGGAAAACTTCCAGGCTGCCTTTGAAGCAGGCTGTTGGTTGAAAATATTTTGTTTTAAGGATAAGAGAGAAAGGAAGGAAGGAAGGAAATTGGGGGAAAGGGTTTATGTTTTTTCTGTTGTTTTTTCAAATATGTTATGACAGAGTGAAAAGGCCTCCTGAAAGTGCAATTCTTTGTGTGATGGAAGAGAAATGCACCTACGAGTCTCACATCATCAAAGAAACAGACGTGTATCTATAATTTATGCCTTGCTTTAAGCTTCTGCTGATCTGATGTGGCTTTTTTAAGACAACACAGGCAGCCCTGGCATCACTTGTCAATCACTGGGGCATGCGCAAATCGCAGACCATTAGTAGGAGAGACGGCGGAGTTTCTTTAATGACGCTTTTATATGGGGCACGCTGGCAGTGAAACAGAGAGGGTCTGACTTGATCAATGCATTAGCCTAATCACAGCGTCCTTGCTCTTAATTTCTTTTGTCGGCAATTTCCATACATGGGTTGTGTCCAGAACCCTGGCAAAGACCCATTTACAGTCCTGCATGATCTGTGCAGTCACCTCGCCTGAGTCCCACTCAGTGGGAAGCGATTTCTGGAAGCGAGGGGCC